CTAACAGAGACAACCCTGAGGAGCCCACAGGAGTTTTGGAATGGGCTTTAGTTGTTCCATCTTCCCACCCTGTCCTTGGCCCAGCTGCCAGGGAACCCCTGCCGTGGATTCAACAGAAGAAAAACACAGGAACAAACAAAACAAAAAATAATGGCCATGAAATGAGCACTTACGGTGGCTTTTGGGCTCGTTTAGAATTCTTTTATCTGTTAGGAAAAACAAAGTTAGAAAAGAAAAAGGTGAAGGTGATGATGGGGATGAGATGAAACAGAAAGTGGGAGGTAAGCCAGCCCGGTGTGGGGGCCAGGGGGGTTGTGTGGGAGATCAGCATCATTCCCTGGGGCATTCCAAAAGCCAGGTAGAAGCGTGGTGACAAGGACATCCCCATGCCCAAGCAGTAAGGGGGACAGTGGTGTCACACAGCAGCAGGTGGCAGCACTGGCTGCCTTCAGCACTCCTGCTCACAGGTAGCAGCAGCACTACCACCATTATGGGTTTATTTCCTCAAGAAACCACCTCCAGAACTCCCAGCAGTGACCCAGGGAAGGTGTTTTCACAGTGTGCCTGAGAAACCCCTCCTGTTTCCCTGTCTACCCACAACCAGCTTTATTTCAGCAGAGACCCCAAACCTATGGCGGGGGGACAGGGGTCTCAATGCCAGTGGAACATTTAGATCCCTCCCAAATCCCCAGTACATCTTCCTCCAGGTAAGAAATAACTCTAGAAGGGGAGAACCTGCTCAAAAACACCTTTTTGAAGACACGACTTAAAACTCAGGCGGCACCGGCTGCTCCACCAGCTTGGAGGCACAGCCAACAAAGCGTGGCCGAACGCCGGAGCGCCACAGCATCTCCTACAGCACATCCCCATGCCTGCAGCCACGCTCCTGGACACTCACTGTGTAGGCAGAGGCCGTCGGTGCAGTTTTTGGAGTCCAGCAGCACCCCGCTGCAGTCCTTGCCGCCGTTGCGGGGCGCGGGGGCCGCGCACTCGCGGCTGCGCCAGTGGGTGCACTCGGTGCTGCACGCCGACCACTTGCTCCACTCCGTCCACGCGCCGTCCACTGCGGGCAGGCAGCATGGCAGTGTCAGTAAAGCGTTCTGCTATTCTGGGGAGTGTCATCCCAGCACTCCTTAAAGACTAGCTTGTTTCAACCCCCTGCCATGGGCAGCGACACCTTCCACTACCCCAGGTTGCTCCAAGCTCCGTTCAGCCTGGTCTTGGACGCTTTCAGGGATCCAGGGGCAAACACAGCTTCTCTGGGCACCCCGCCCTCACAGGGAAGAATTTCTTCCCACTATCCCATCTAATCCTGCCCTCTGTCTGTTTAAAGCCATTCTCTGTTGTGCTGTCACTCCAGGCCCCTGTAAATAATCTCTCTCCGTGTTTCTTGTAGGCTGCAATGAGGTCACCTCAGAGCCTTCTCTCATCCAGGCTGAGCAATCCCAACAATCCCCACCGCAGCCTGGGGTACAGTGGTTTCTGAGCCCTCCTTACCTGGGCAGAGGGTGGTGCAGGTGATCTTCTGGAAGGGCTGCCCGTCGCAGAAGGA